GAAGAATCTTTGACTACATGACTACTGAGCCATTATTTCAAAATAACGAACAGAAAATAATCCGAGGGGGCCAAATCTGGTGAATATGGTACGAGGTAGCAATTCACACTTTAATTCGTTAACTTTGATTTTTTCAATAATAGATTTGTGGGTTGGTACATTATCATGATGGAACAACATTTTGTTCTTAGCCAAATGAGGCCGTTTTTTTTGACGTCAAAACACAAGCACTACAGGAAAATCCTCAAGTCGCTCTAAGAGCGATGCCTGTGCGAAAGTAGTGATCCTCATTGGATTCGAATCTCTGTAGAATAAAGTCATTTGGAAAAACGATCCCAGGAAGTTTATTCCACATGAACGCAGTTCTCCAAATGAAAGAGTTTTCAAACAGTGAAGTTCGTGGTGTACTGATTTGAACCTTAAAACGATGACCAGCCCCAGTCCGTCGCATATTTCTGTTATTTACCTCTCTTGGTGGAATCAAATATGCCAAGTCACTTAAACACTTTCCGTGAAATTATCTATAGAAGAGAGACAAATATCCAATCTTTCTTCACTCAAACATTTCAATAAGTTCGCATAATAATCCCGATGATAGTTTTACATTATTTGAGATAGTCAATGAAAATTATCCCACGCCCATCTCGAAAAACCGATGCCATGACCTTGCCAACAGATGAAACGGTATTCGCCTTCTTTGGAACCGATTCTCCCTTTTGAGTCCACTGTTTTGATTGTTCTTTTGTCTCGTGTGTAAAGTGATGGTCCCATATTTCATCCATGGTTATGAAACCATACAAAAATGTTGCTTCGTTGCTAAGAAGAGTTGCTAAACACTCAATCTTCAAAACAATGTTTCTGCTCGACTCTGGGTAAACGTGGCACCCATCTTGCACACAGCTTTCTCATGTCCAAATATTCAGATAATATACAATGTACCGCACTTTTTGAAATGCCTACTGAGTTTGCTAGCTCGCGCACGATCATTCCGTATCGCTTTTCTTCACCATTTCTGGAATCGTCACTTAATTTGGTCGACCAGAGCGATGCTCGTTTTTCCAGCTTGTTTGGCGTCATTTAAACTCTGCTCACCAAATATTTTAGTGTTGTAAACGAAGGAGCAGACTCGCCCAGAGTAGAATCCAATTTAGCTTTTACATTGGTTGGGCTGAAGCCTTACAAATTAAAGTATTGTACCACATAACGATGAACAATGTTTGTTTCATGGTATGGAAAATGATACTGGTTTGCTTATAAACTGATCGAGTTAGGGATATATTATCCCTTATCAAGCCTAATCATTCCCAAGATCTCTTTACATTTGCAGAAAAAAGAACAATTCGAAAAGCAAGAATTTAAATTGGCCGCGTGTCTGTTGACCAATAAAATTGATCGTGTAGTCAAGCGGAGTTGCCAAGTGTATTGGTTTTTAATATCCAATCACAGATCTAATGATCCAATTTGACAGACGCCATTTTTGTGTAAATATGAAAAAGTAAAAAACCAAAATCAATACTCTGAAAATGAATATACCTTAAAACTGAACTTAAAAAACTAAGCAAGTATTTGTTAAAAGGATTGATACAAGTTTGTTTTTATATTTTCTTTGAAATATTTCAAATACCTATTTCACTGCAGGCTTATTGTCACACTATACGAGCCATAATCAATTCAAGTCATTACTATTGCCACGAAAATGACACACCATGAGGATAACGAATCGATCATAAATACTAATAGTCAACATTTTGAAATGATTCGAGTATACTTTTTTCTGCACGTAAAATAAACTAATTTACACATAATTCTGTCCGTTATTTGGAGAGGTACCTACATAAGTCTTTCCTGAAATTCATATACCTACCAGCAAACTATTGCTATCTCGTTTACCATAGAAGATACGTTGTTGGTTGAATTTGACGAAAAAATGTACTTTTTAGAATGCAGTGCAATGCAAGAGCCGATAATGAAGTATGATAAAAATATCGAAGCAGAGAAATAAAAAGCAACAATTTCAATTTATGTATTATTTGATAGTCTGGATTTTCCAACAAATTTTCATTGCATTCTGAAAACTAATTTTCTGTCAAATTTAACCAACATCGTATATTATCCTACCCTTACCGAGATAAAAATAGTGTGCAATCAAATTTTCGCTACACTGTATATTTGTTTTTTGAAGTAGGTAAGCAGGTATTGAGGCAAAATTAATGAATAAGTAAAAATGTTACTATACTAATATTCAATAATAGTAGACACTAAATTCTCAGAAATATTGTTGCAATGAAATGAAAACATTGTTGTCAGGTTGATGTATATTAAGTTGACGAGACACTTTTCGAAATTTGCAAAACGAATGATTTCACCATTGGCCGCTATTTATTCGCTAATTAGTTGCGGAAGAGAATATTTTTTCGCCCCTTTCTTCAAAAAAATACATGTTGTCTCGCTAATTTGATATCAAGTTAGCGATACCACTTTTTCATTATAAAGTTTTCCAGAACTTTGACCATTGGCTTGTTATATTTAGTCGCTTATTAGTTGCAGAGAAAAATATTTTTTCGAATACATGGTGTTTCGCTAACTTGACGTCAAATAGGCGATACGACTTTTTTATTATTAAGTTTTCCAGAACTTTGACTATAACATTGGTTTGATATCTCGTTATTCGCTCGTTATTCGCTAATTAGTTGCGGGGACATATATTTGATTTACCTTTTGTTTTAAAGAATTCAAGGTCTCGCTAACTTGACAGCAACTTTTTATTATTGAATTTTTGAGAACTTCAACCAAAATATTTCCTTTTCCTTATTTTGAACACACATTTGAGTTTTCTGCAATTTTGACATTAGTCTAATTGTCGGTCAGATTATGATATCGCAAACTCTCATTCCGGAATAAACCAACAACCTCAGCTCTATACAGAATCTACCTTGAGGCAGGACACGAAATCGAAAAAATTCTCGAAATATCACCACGAGTGAGGGGGGATGTAGAGAGATATTCACGTGCATTTACAAAGTAAGGTTTATGGACAAATTGCCTTATGACATTTACCCTATACTGCCTTAGCCACTTATTAGTTTTGAAGAAAGTATCGACACTTCGTCGCCTGAGGACAATGTACTTTTGTATGTAAAATGGTCAAATGAAATACTCTACTCTATTCTACAATCTTGAATATATTCTTTGTTTTATGCACTTGAAGATATTTTGAATATTTTTATCAAAAAAATACATGTGATTTTGACTAGAAGGAGGGTAGTTCACAACATCACCAAAGGGGGAGGAGGGGGGTTAAAAAGTTACTAAAAATATCAATTGATTAATGGACGACCCCGAAGTGCCGAAACAGCTCTCTAATATATTTCTTGATCTATTAAAATTGATCGATTAATGTTTGGGATCATGGTAGAAAAATAATTAATTTTTCTATGTTAAATCAGGCTGATTTGATATTTCGAAGCAGAACCTTCGAAAAACAAATCAATTACTTAATGAATCAATTTGAAGTCGAATTCAGGAGGTGTTAGTAGTCATATAATGTCAAGTCTTAGTATTTTTGGATGAACACTTTATTTTCAGATTTTCAACAATGTTTCAATGTGTTAATGAAGTACCCTTAAATGAGCCTAAAAGTATTGCATATACAAAATTTCTAAAAAGTGAAGGATTCAGATTTGGTTCTGCTAGCTTAACGTTCAAGTCAGCAGAACCCAACATATTTCCAAAAAATAGAACACCTGGATAATCGGCGATAAGGGAAAAGATGTGTCTAAAATGAGCCTGAAATTATGATGGAATCCAACTTGACAAAATGTATTTGTTTAATCGACGGGAAATTATAATATTTTCCTTCGCAAGTAATTCGCTAATAACTAGAACATGCTAATGGTGTAGTCAAAAATCTGGAAGAGGGGCGAAAAAATATTTATCTCCGCAACTTATTAGCTGATAAATAAACTAAACCATTGGTCTAGTCAAAGTTTTGAAAAAACTTGATAATAAAAAAGTCGTATCGCTAACTTGATATCAAGTTAGCGAGATATGTATTTTTTTTTAAAAAGGGGCGAAATAATATTTTCTTCCGCAACTAATTAGCGAATAAATAGCGGCAAATTATGAAATCATTCGTTTTGCAAATTTCGAAAAGTGTCTCGTCAACTTGATATACGTGTCAGGTTGTGATTGTATATATTTTATCGTCTTCTATTCAAATCATACACACGTAGCTAAATGCTTGAAGAATAAAGGACACCGTATTTTATTCATTGAAGAAACATCTTACTAATAAAAAAGATATTCAATAGCATCAATGTTTATGAATAAGTATGAAAAATTTTAATTACATTTTGCGACTAAAATTTATAAATAGCAACGTTGGCAGGGATGTTTGTTACTTAATCAATATACCTTTTTCTCTTTCATCAAATTCCATAATGATTCTTAGAAATTTTAACATTTATCACTCCATAAATCATTCCTTCAAGACATCTACAACTGTTGTTTAACTAAATTTGCCCCAGTAGCTTAGGCCAAGTGATCTCTTCTCCTATATAATTCAAATGACATGGTTCATGCATAAAATACATTCCAATATTTATTTAAATTGTGATTAACTATATACATATTTTTCACTCACCATCATATCATTTTGTTACTTTTGAATCATAATAATGATTTTAAATAATTGACGTTCAACAATTTTACATTTTATCAACAGTTCACCTAACCACCTCTCTTGGCATTGTAGGTATTAACTAATTTATCATTCAAATAATTGTTAAAGTACTGAAGCAAAAGAAATATAATTATAAATCAGTTTAATTTTGTGCTATGAACTGTGAGCAACATGAAAAGCAGTCAAAGCAAACGTAGACGTCCGCATTTATCTGAAGGAGAAAAGACTATAATATACAATGTGTATTGTGGGCTCCGTGAAAAGAAGAAGTTTTCACAAAATCCCCAAATCTTAAAAAGTAGATGTGACAATGTATCACATCTATAAACAATATAACTAGAGAAAGAAAACAAATTCAACTTGATGATTGCACCAAATGTGCTATTCGTAGATAATTCCATTTGTTTTTTTTTTTTTTCAAAATGGAATCCAAACCTAAAAAAAAGTCGCAGCCGAAATAAGTTGCGATGAATCGGTGCACAAAATTGTGCAAGATTGTGCAAATGAACATCAAATTTATGAAAAGAGATAGGAAAAGTGCTCTTATAGAAAGAGAAGTAATTGTTTTGTGACGAAGAAATTATTTAAAAAACATCCGACAGTATCGTCTTGCAGGTAAAAAGATTTAGTATTTAGATGACACTTGGTTGAATCAAAGCCATTCATTCTCGAAGGTATGACAGGATTTAGAGCGCCAGCTGTCAAAGGACAGAGGCTCATAATAACTCAACTGGACTAGTAACCACTAGTCTGGCGAAAAGCTGATATCACTAACTGGCTGTCAGAAAAAATTATCATTCGACGATATGTTAAAAGTCCAGTTACTCAATATTGAAGAAAAATGGGGGAACATAATCGTACACCGCCTCCCACCTCACCATTATGAGTTAAACCCGATCAATCTGATATGGGCTCAAATAAAAAAAACAAGTGGCGAGGAAGAACTTGACTTTTAAAATTGATGAGGTAATAGGCCTACTAGCTACTGCGATAGAAAATGTCACACCCGAATCATGGAAAAAACGCATTAGACATACGATAAAAGAAGACAAAAAGTTGGAACTAGATACTAAAATGGACATTGAAATTGAACAATTGATTATTACCTTGAATACTAGCGATCGCGATAGTTGCTCAACATCCGACGAGTTTTCTTCAGACGGTAATGAATAATAGAATACTGTAAGAAATTTGTTGAGGTGGTATTAGTGGTTTATGTGATTATTCGCAGAATTCTACAAAAAATCAAAATACCACTCACAGTCAATTCAACATAAATCAGACGTAAACTTTTGCTAAAACACTTTCTTGATTTTTTTGTGGAATGAGGCAAATAATCGCAATTTTTTCTTCTTTGCAACACCATCCGTGGACACACTGTATTTTTTTATATAATTGAGATAATTTAATTATTATTTGTGAATATAATTTTTGAATACTAGCAATACACTTGAACTTAATTTTTCCTCATCTGTTTTACATGAATGGCGTTTTTATTTACAAAAATGAGAAGTTGAAAAAAATTACAAAATTGAAGAAACTAAAAGTTAAACTTTCTCTCGGTTATCTTAATTTCCGTACGACACTGCAAGAGACATATTAAGGCAAGAACGTCATAGTCATTTCCGAGAATTTAGTGCCTACCATTTAGGAATTATAGATATAGCATATGAATTGGGTAAATCCATTCTGTTTATTCAAATGCCATAACATTTCTGTGCCCGAGAATTTGACATTTTTTGATTAATTTATTTTTTTTGTTATTCTAACAGAGTGAAAACTCATACATGTCATAAATAATTAATTACATGCCTCTAAATCAAATTGCGTATTCAAGCAAATGTAATCAACATTTCCCTTGCTTTTGTGGGATTTCAATTCTATACGGAATTTGATAAATGATTATTGTTCAATAGAAACTATTATATTCAATGAAAAGAACTATAGAACGCATCGTTCTTTCTATGTATATTTGATACAGTTTCTAATTATTTGTTAATATTTTCATGCTATAGAGACATTTAGATACAATAAAAAAAAATCGAAAAAAGTCTTAATGTTGAGACCACTTTCGGTGTGAAGTTTATTCTCAATCTAATGTATTTTGGTACAATATAAAATGTTTCAATAACTATATAGGTATTTTGAAAGACACGGTTCAACTATACTCTCACCAATAAAATTTAAATAAATGACTTCTCATGAACTGATGGAAAATATAATATTCTTTTCGAGATTCCCTTGTATATAAATTCATCTTCTAAATATTTCAGATATTAAGAGATAGATTTCAAATACCTACACATACGTAAGTAAGTATACGGAATTAAATATATTGTCTAAATCCCACTACTTTGACAATCAATGTTCTTCCGTTCTCAAAATTAGATGAATATACCTACTTCACTTTAATCTGTCTCTTGAAGATGATCACTTGGTGATCGAAACGCATGTCGAGGTATTTAAATAATGGTTTGGTGTTGGGAAAAACTCCAGTAATATTCATCTAATTAACAAATGACAGAACCCATCACTTTAAAATATAGAAATTCCATAATAATTTCTGAAACTTACCAATGTGACATGAAAGTAAATTGTAAAGTAAATTATCAAATCCCATAAGCGTTGTAATTGCAAAGATAACAATATAAATACCGTTATTGAGAACTGTTCTTTTTCGACAGACAAGAAGCGAAACCACAAACTGACATGAATTCAAATCAATGGGTGTTATCACAAATTTCCGGCGATTTTATAAATTCGTAGATGAAGTAGATAAGACGCCCATATGTGATAGTGATAGTAATGATAATGATCTGAAACAATACACAGCATTAACGAAAGCTATTCTTCCTGGGCCAACGAAACAACAATAATGCAGATACCTCGATTTATAAAGTGAACGGAAGTTATTTCCGTTTGCAAACCACGTGATTTTTTAAATTAGAATACCAAAACCATTCGATATGTGTCTGACATTCAGGGAAATATCAATTTGCAAAATGACATCCAATGACGTAATGGTGTTTGTCACTATTGAGAGTGAATGTATGGACAAGAATAACTAATGAAATTAAGGAATAACTTGATATAATATAGGACTACACAAACAAGCAACTGGATAGACGTTTTTTCATAAGAAATTCTAGTTTTCTGAATAATACAAGGTAAGTAGATAGGACAGCAATTTGTAATGAGGAGGTAAGTGACGACCTACATTAACAAAACATTTAGAGAATGCCAAGTATTCTGTTTGTATTCAAAAACCGATTATCAGTTCATGACCGGACACTATCAGAGCTACTAACTAATGAGAAATAAAAGCGGAAAATTATTTTTTCTTGGATGTGAACGTGCACAAAAAGGTGACTGCAGTTTAACTCTTAGTTTTGCAACACTGGCCTTGTAACTTTCCCTTGCCTGTAATCAAATCTACCAGAGCTGTGGCTATATGAAATGAAACTAATGGGTGGCTATTTTCGTGATTGTTGCAAAAGCTAATTCCCGATTCATTATCAGTACTTCTGTCCATTTGTAACTAGTTCAGGAAGTCTTTGTACATGGTGTTTTTGACAAATTAGTTAGTACTTTGTTACTGTCTGAATGGACACGTTGAACGAATTACATGAAACAAGTAACTGAGGCATAAAAACTCACCGAATGCTGAAGACTTGCGAAACTGTAATCACCCAATCCACTTTCTAAATGCAAGAGTAAAAACTTCCAGCTTTGGTGACACCTACACGATACAAAACACAATTCTTTTAGACACTAACCAGAGAATATCAATCGATGTAGAAGTAGTCAAGATATGAAAGAGTTCCTTAAGAATTACGAAAACATCGCACTGGAAAATTGACAAGAGCTCGCGTATTACTAACCCGTCACGAAGTCAGCTGCGAACTGACTCGTGTCTTGGACAACTGGATTTCCATCCGCTATCATGAACAGAACAGTTTTAGTCTCTGAAACGAGTAATAGATGGCGCGGGAGGACATCAATCGATAAACATATTCTTTGACATTAAGTATTGTACATTGAATGTATACTTAATAACGTTTTTTTTTAAATGAAGGTTGATGTAATATCCCCAGGCGTTTAATGAGTCAGCGTGTTATTATTATCCGCACCTATGGTTTGAGAGGATTAACGAGTTTATGAATAGATTGTCGAAGACTTATGCAAAAAATACACACGAAGTTAATTTCCTTTATGATTTCTAAAACGGATATGGGTTTTGATTTACGTCGGATACAATCAGAAATTAATTGTTTAAAGACTCATATCACTTATAACTATTGCAAAATTCTTGAAAATAATTATTTTGAAGCCTAATTTTGATTTAATAATCAATTTGTAAGTGCATTCTATACACTCGCCACATACAATAAACTGAATAAAACAGAAACATTTGTTTCATTTTTTCTTTGGTTTTTAATTTTTTCAATTTTCATCTTCCAATTTATTTGTTCTCTGTGGTCATTTTCATCTTTTATCTTGATTATTTTATTTTGATGATTGATATTTCAGCTATTTATTCTAATTTTATTTGTTCTTTTATAGGTTTCGAAAATATTAGAATCATATTAGACAATGGGTGTCCGAACTAATAAAATTCACCATGAAACACTGTCAACCACTCTCAAAAAATGTACAATATCCATTATAATGAATATATGTTTATCTATAGATATTTCAGGCATAGTTGATATCAAGATATCATACCTATAAAAAACGCAAACAATTTGTAACATATTATCTCAAAGGCTAATTGTTAATGAAAAAATATTGATCAAGTTGAATATGTCTAGGGAAATTCTATCGCAATGTAAATTATTTATTTTTCATCGGCACTGTGGAAACAGGATACTATTTTCACGTGTATATTTGTACCCTTTTTCTACCCCAAATGGGTTAGTGTGCATTTAGGTATACTTTACTTAGGACATGTATCAATCAAAGTGAAATCGTCTATTTCTTCGCCACATTCGATTTACCAGTTGCAATTTACAATGAAAAACTTGAATGTTTTATTTGTGTTCTTTTCGAGTTTTATTGGAAATTGGAAAACACGCTACAACCTGGTGAGTTGCGACATTTCTTCACATATATCTGAGTTTGTACATTTATGTGTAATTCAAATATAAAATTCTATATCAAAAATGAGAAAACGACAGATGTCTTCACTAGGAGTACATTCTTTTAAAAATATTTATTATATCACTTCTTTTTGGAATATCATATGATCATAAATGAAACAGTATGAACCATTTTCTACTCAAGAATTGTTGAGCATTGTCTAGTGCTTATTAACATAAGCAAACACCTCAACCCACAATTTACTCATGATAGCCAGTGTCATTACTAGCTTAGCAGTTAATTCGGTTGTACATCAGGTTACATAAAACAATATATTGAAAAATAATGACTAAATCACATCACAGGTTATTAAATTAGACCTATACCATACTTATACCATATTCGTGTACAACTTTAACCTTAAAAATATCATCGCCGCTTGATAAAATCAAAAATAGGTCTGAAGCAAGAAATCAAACTCGACCAGAATGTCTTTTTTCTTTGCGAAATGCTATCAGAGTCAAAAGTACCCTCGTATATGCCCCTCACATATCTCTCCTCGTCGGAAAACGAGCTGGAATTGAACAAGTAAAATTTTTGGTTCATATGCTGTTTTTTTTCATAATCATTGATAACAATAGGACCAAAAGGTACAGCATTTTTTCTTCTTATTGGTGAAGATTTAGCTCTGCGCTTTTCTTTCCGATAAGTGAGAAACTGAATGATATCGTGTTTGATTTGCTGACGTTGATAGTTAGATGATTTTTCAAAATTCTCTCCTTCACTATGTCCAGAACGATATTTTTTCTGAATATCCATTTTCTCCTGTGAATTTTTATTTCGGATACTGAAACGTTTTCTTTTTTTTCCAACACGTCTATTATCCAGAATAGTTGTGCTCGTTGTCACTGTATTATAGCTTTCTACTGAAGCATCCTCAATGAAATTCAATGGATATGGTACTTCAGTCTCATTCTGTTCCATTCTATCTGGAATTGGAGAAGATTTAATAGAAGCAACAGACGGAGAATTTGTACGAACTATCACTGTTGGGAACAGATTCACGTTTTCACTATATTCACTTTTCTCCACAGTCTTCTCATTTTCTTGATCAGAACACTGTGTCCATTTAGTTACTGTGAATTTCTCGTGATAGTTCTTGAAAACAATTTTATCGGTTGTATCTCTCGGCTCCACATTGTTTGATTTCTTGAAAATATCTTCATGTATACTCACTTTGGTGTGGTATGGAATGTTACTCTCGGATGATGAAGGTAATTTTGGAGTTTTCAGCCGAAAGCAGGATTTTTTTTTTGGTGGATTGTACTCCAGTTCCAATAGATTATTAATGGATTGTGAGTTCATATTGTAACACACCGAAAACGGATGTATTGTTTTTATTTCAAAACTTTCAGTTAAGTCACCACTTGATCCACTAGGTTGTTTTTCCAAATTCCTAGTCATATTTCGAACGGTTTTTTGCTTTGGTTGCTCTACTTCGAGTATCTCTGTTATAGTGCAACTTTCACGACGATCAGTACTGCGTTCGTCATCTATTTCAATCAAATTCAATCTTCTCCTGACTATATTCAGCTTTTCCAGGTAGTCGTTTCTCAAGCTGTAGAGATCCTGGTTCTGTTCACTGCGATCGGATGTGTTAGTCGAATCTTCATTTTCTTGAATCATATAGAATAGACAGTTTTTATAAACCTGTTCAGTTCGATCTGATGGCGAATCTCCAAACGGCCCACCCTCTAGATCTGGGAAAATGTATTATTAACTAATCAGTTCTTTGAATTCATTCATACCAACCTTTTCTATTTCTATATGAGGAAGAACGGGAACGCGCGTTTGGTTTGACCTCTGCAATATTGGAATCAGGATCACCATCACTGCTGAATCTAGCCGATGAATTTTTTGACATGTTGATATGTCAAAATAATAGCAATTTTAGGACATAATTGAGATGTCTGCTGATGGTTGCTAGGATACATTTCTGTTTCAATGATTCATATGTACCATCCTACCTCTGAAGTTGCCACAAGATTTTGTCCGTAGTCAAAACTTCTATTTTTTCTAGTCATCAGTTGATATTCTGATGGATGAATTGAATAATACCATCTTTTCAGAATCAAATTAGTGGGGTTATTTAATAGAAACGTGTGAATAAAGTTGGCCTTCGTTGTCATCTTAGGATCATGATAAAAAAAATTCAGTTTCATGTTTCAAAATCTTGTTGAATTTGAAGTTAACATCTGAATATTGTAAATTCATGTTTGCTTTAATCGGTTTTTACTTTATGTTGATAAAATTACGAAATATAGAAATTTTGAAAATGGTTGTCTTCTAAATTATTGAAAGTGTAGGTGAAAACAGTGGGAAATTCTTCTTGGAGAAGATGTAAAATTTGGCGCAGTAGCCGATTTCGATGAATTTTTTTGGAAAAGATGTAGAATTAGGTACAGTAGCCGATTTTGATGAAGTTTTTATGGAAGCTTCAGAACACCCTAAAATGGAGGCAACATTGAAGGGCGGAATGGAGATTAAGATACTTTTTCTCAACGAAACATATTCTAGGAGTTCAACAAACCACAAGAAAAGTAAAAATTTCAGCCCATTTTTTTGTAGTACTTACCATATCATTTGATATAACAATTTTACCTATTATTCATCATTAATCAATGTAGAATTGATTTGATTCAATATAACGAAGTCTACAATATTCCTTCAATATTAGCTTCGATAATAACAAATACTGATCGTCATATGCCAAATTTTTTATGTTTTGCTGAAGCAGCATTACTATGTTGCCAGATCGTAAAAATAAATTGCAATTGCACATACATTTACGAAGGCATAAAGTGGCCACAAAAATTGATATTATTCTTCCAACATTCCTAGTTATGAGTATGAATTCACAGTTATAATTGCCAGTTGTTACTGTAAATAGCTGTTGATGACTGAGAAAGCTATTGTATTGTGAAACACGTGTTGTGGTTTTGTACACGTTTATTGTACGTTTTTTGTACCATTTTTCAATTGACACGCTTGTATTAGCCTAACCTGTATGTATGTATGTTTGTTTTGTTTGTAACTCTTCTTTCCAATTTTAATGCTCGGGATCTGTATTTGACAGAATCATTCACGTTATTGCTTCATCTATTCGCGGGAAGATGGCGCTGTACGTAACCTCCTTGATATAACTCCAACTCACTTTACATATCTTTCTTCATTTGAAAAAACTAAAAAACACTCTTTTATAGCATATGAAACTAAAAAATGAAAACTAAATATTGTTTAAAAAACTAAATAACACGCTTTTGAAGAACATCGAACTAAAAAGTTAAACATTTTTTTTTCAAAATAAGCTCAAACAATGACGAACGAAAAATACTAGTATTATTGTGAAAAATCGTGGGTGTTTTGTGACATATTTTTTGTATATCAAGCGCCCGTCGTTTTTTTCACAATAATATCTTCTAGTATTTTCCGTTCGTTATTGTTTTAAGCTTTTTAAAAAAATATTTTGAACTTTTAAGTGCTGAAAGATAGACTTACTGCAATCAATACAATAAGTCAATGAATGAAACAATTGTTGACTTCGCTTATCATCGAAAAGATACGAATTGGACCACCCTATCGTTCGCGCGTCGCCTATGCAATCATGCTTCTTGCGATGCACCAAATGGCAACGTTCGACAGGCAGCAGGAATAGGTTTCTTCCTAATGAGTCTTACTGAACTGAAATATGAAATGTAGACATAAACACCTCAGCAGATTCTCTTTGGATTCAGTTCATTTTTACACGCTTTATTACACGCTTTGTATTAGCTTTATCTGTATGTATGTATGTTTGTTTGTTTGTAACTCTCCTTCCCCCTTCGAATGCTTGATCTATTCAAGGGCAGATGACGCTGTACGTAATCTCCTTGATGTATCGACATTATTGCTTGATCTATTCGCGGGCAGATGGCGCTGTTCGTAACCCGCTTGATATATCGACAGTATTGCTTGATCCATTCGCAAGCAGATGACACTGTACGTAGGCTACTTGATATAATTCGAACTCACTTTAAGGTGAATGCGGGTAAATGTGATAATGAGGCAATTGTGATAGTGAGTCACACATTTCTTTCAAACTGTTTGATACATCCGACATCTAGCGTGCAGTCATCCTAATATAATCGTTCATCAAAACTCCACTAGAGAAACCTCCACAGTCGGCGCACTACTGAGCATTTCATCGTTGCGCGTGAGTCTTATTCATAACCTGAAATACGAATACAAACCGTTTATTTCGAAAATTGTATTTTCGTAGTTTCAACTTGGTAAGTAGTCGTTGTATTATGCCTATATACTCATTTCATACTGTACAATGTATACTTTATGAAGATTAAGGCGATATTATTATGTGGAAGGTTATTTGAAGTTGCATGACATATACTCCAGTGAAAATGAGTATGGGGCAAATGTGACACTATCAGGGGTAATGTTGATAATAGTAACACAATTGCCCCGTTATATAAAAGTTACATCAGTTCATACTCCAGTACTATTATTATGGTTTTGTTTCAGCAGTTGTGTCCATCATGGTTCGCAATTACAAAAAGAAAGGGGCTAAGCCGGTTTATACGGAAGTTGATCTTCAAAATGCATTAGAAGCAGTCAGAGCAAGGAGGCAGAGTATGTACGCTGCATCGAAAGCATTCAATATTCCATATTCTTCACTCTATGCTCGAGCTAGAGGATTGAGAGGCAAAATAAGTAAGGCCAAAGGGCGCCCAACTACGATTCCACATGATGAAGAAGTTGAATTGGCGAATAGAATCAGGACACTTGAAAAGTGGGGATTTGGGTTGAGCAGGCGTGAAGTTCTAGAACTTGTTGGGTCTTATGTCAACAAAAATGATATTGTCACCAAATTCAAGGATGGTACTCCTGGTGAAGAATGATTCCTTGGATTCAGAAAGAGGCACCATTTGAGTGTCAAAGTACCACAAAATGTGGAATATTACAGAAAAAAAGCATTGGATCCATTCACAATTCATAATTACTTTTCACTCCTAAAATCTACGCTAGATGAACTGAATCTACATGACAAACCATCACAGATTTGGAATTTGGATGAAACAAGCTTGTCAATAGATACCAGAAAAAGTCAAGTGGTAGGTGAAATTGGAAAGCCGTCTTCGAGAACAATAAGTAGCCCTGGAAAAGAAAACACGACCATATTAGTAATGTGTAACGCTGCAAGAGGGAAAGCCCCACCTTTAATAATTTTCAAGGGTCGGCATCTGTGGGATAAATGGATTGCTCCTGAAGTTGTGAGCTACCCTGGAACAGTTTATGCAGCTACTAAAAAAGGGTGGATGGAGAGTGATGTATTTCGGAATTATTTCATGAAAACTATCATCCCAGCTTTAGGTGATAAAAAGCCCGCCTTGATAGTATATGATGGTCACAGCACTCATATCGATCCAGTTATAATAGAAACTGCTATCAGAGAAAATATAACTATTCTCAAGCTTCCACCCCACAGTTCTCATCTGCTACAGCCACTGGACTTGTCAGTGTTCAAGTCTTTCAAATGTAAATGGGACGCCAAACTGATTGTGTGGCAAAGACAACATGTGGGACNTGTGAAAAAAGCGTGGGCGCTTTGTGCCACATTTTTTGTATATCAAGCGCCCGTCGCTTTTCTCACAATTATATCTTCTAGTATTTTCCGTTCATTATTGTTTTAAGCTTTTAAAAAAATATTTTTAACTTTTTAGTTCGATGTTCTTCAAAAGCGTCTTTTTTAGTTTTTTACACTATATTTATAATCGTTATAGTTGACTATGAATGCGAATCAGTCGGCATTTGAAATGAATAATCTATCTATAGGTACTTAAGTCACTCACTTGAGACTCACTCATTCATCTCTGTTTCTCCGTACTGGTAGGTAAGTGATAGGAAGCTGAAATTTAGTATATAGGTGCTTCTTGTATGTAGGTTCATTTCATATTGTTGATATGCAATTGGAAAGAATTTTCCAACTGGGGTGCCCCCACTGGATAAAAGGGGGCACGTTTACATAGGAAAATAACTTTTCAACACTGATTCTCCGTACCGCTATATTTTCGTTTTATGTTGTAGATGTGCAATAAGAGAAGATTTTTGAAGATTCCAAGTGAAGCGCCTGCGCGATTATTTCTCAAAGTAAAATCACGTTACAAAAATGATGAATATTAGATCTGCGTAACGAAATATTGTCATACAGTTATTGATAGTATGAAAATCTCAGATACTTGATGGAATAATAATTGTTTTCTCTCTAATGAATAACATGTGAGGAAGTATTTGTTTTTCATCAGAAAAACTCCACAATTTTGGAATATTTCAATCATTTCAAGTTACAAATGATCCACATTTCCATTATCTTTTTCGAAAATTATTCATCGAGTACATGACAAATAGAAGAAATTTGGTTTTTCATTCGAGAAAAGGTTTCAAATAATGATCCAATCTCGTATTCAATATTCGATTAATCAACATTGGCCGCTAAGTTGTTTTTACAATATTCACTTTTCACTTTTTCTGTATTCTAAACAGACTTCATGTTACATCAAAAATAGTCACTCAAATACTCAAATTACTCATGCCAGGCCCCTACGGTGTTTATTATTCTTCAGCAGTATCTAAAAAACTGTGAGTTTATGGAATACGTAATGATAATTATTCATTTCGAAATTGCCAAACAAGCGTAATAAAAAGAAAAACGAGTCGCCCGGAACTCGGAGTATTGTTAACAAAATCAATTACGTCAAAAACAGACACCTCTTTCTCAACAACGGGAAAAAGAATAAAAAATTAATGTTTTTCTAGCCATCTTCTTTCTTTCCATTGTGCTGAAAACACTCCTGCAAATGGCAGACCATTTCGTAGTCTTTTCATGA